ACACTTGAAAAAGCTAAAATCACAGTGTTTAGAATTATTTGCAAATTACAGATGAAAATCTTTGTCAGACACAGATAATAAAATGAGCTCTCATTTCAATATTCAAAATATCTAAAATACCTAGCTTTTAACCAAAACTTTTATGTAGGATTTTCAAAGGCAGCTTCACAGAGCCAAAAAAAAATAAAAAACATTTATTTGATGTATGTTTTTGTTATGTTTGGTTTCTCACTTCCCTGTGAGTGAATGATGAAACTAGTAAAATAGGTCTTAGGAAACTAGGGAAAGTTAACTTAGGAAAATGAAAAATTTTCATTATACAGCAATTTTTTTTTGTTCAGTTACGATGTTCAAAGCATAAAATGTAAAAAAAAAAAATATATATATATATATATATATATATATGCAAAAAAATATATGCAAAAAAAATTAGTATACGGTTTATTTTCCAATTTTGTCAAAACAAAACTGTTTTAAAAAATGTTTTAAAAACATTTTCATAAATCATATTTTCAGATATAATGTTTTTGTAAAGTTTGACCAATGTTGATATTAAAAGTTTACAGTTTGTATCTAAATCTTTGTTGTTTTTCATAGTGTGATTTTTGAAGAATTGTATTGAATCCAATTAGGGTCAATTTGACCCGGTCCATAAAGAGTGTACACAGAATTCGAACAGAACACAAGGGTTAAGTATGGGGGGGGGAAATCGATTTAATCAGATTTTTTTTTAGGCCATATCGCCCAGCCCTACGTCGTGTCGCACAAAACCGGCCCTGAAAGATTCGTACGCCACTTCCCACGCATGACTTCTGATTTATACAAACAAACTTAACGGGAGAATATGCATCTGAAAACTAATCATAAATACAGTGATATTCACAATAGCAGTTTAAATAAATAAAAAGAATGATTTAAACTATCTAATATACACATTTACATGAAATATGCCATTCTCATTAATAGAGTTAAGCACTTAAACTACTTGAAACAATCACCGCGCTTGATAATAGCAGAAAATATTTACATGCAAATAATGATCGAATAATGCACAATAAGGCCTATCTGTTTCCATTAAAAATATAAAGCAATTACAAATACTATTTGGCCAGAGGAAAAGATTGAGAAAAACTTTCTCTGAAATGTATTTTGTACTATTTGATTTATTTATTCAAACGCAAGGCAAGGATCAGCTACTAAAATGATTGTTAGCACTGTAATGTGACACACATCCGTATCCCATATTCTCCTAATGTCTCGTACAGTTAAACATGGCATCACGTGGATGAATACGCAAATGCAAATGATATGCAAATGAGGATCTGCATAGTAAACGAGGCGTTGTAAACTCATATATGGTTATTTCGGGGAGGAGACGCGGGTTTATAAAGGGGATTTAGCGCAGGTTCTGGCGTACACATGCTTGTATGAGTCTGAATATTTGGCTTTTGGGCGCATGTCGACTTTTAGAAAGGATCCTACACACTCCTAGTTTTATAAATGAGACCCCCAGAGACGGCAAATGAGATTGAGAAGGATTAATGCTTAACGTATCTCTCTTCTTCGGTTCAACAGAGAGCAGGCGGCCTGTTTGGAAACCATGTGGATCCATTCGCTATGGAGAGAGGAACCCATTCCCCCACCCAGATGACCAGCCAGCGCCCCCTACAGATCGCAGACAGCAGAGCAGACGAGACCGAGGCCTCATATGTTCATTACCACGCAAATACCAACAACAACAACACCAACAATCACAGACCCCCACAGAGGTGAGTAACATTTAAAGTCCCCCTGTAGTCAATCATTGTATTCCTTAAAACTCATCTTTGATCACCAAAATGTCATATTTAAAAGTTTTTTCCTTGAACAGAAATTCGTCATGCCTTAAAATATCTTGAATGTAACTCGACGTGGTTCTATGAATATGCAAATGAGCCCCGCCTCCACTCACTCAGCTCAGAGATCCACTGGTTGACGATCACACGTTGATCTGATTGGTTACAAGGTCGTTTGTGACGTCAGAAACACCAGCGATTTCAAACCGTGTTTTTGAGACTGTCTTTGGTTCACTGCAGTTTTAAGGAGGAAATACTCAGCAATGCTGTCGACTTATGAACTTACACATGGTGTGTGTTAAAGCGTATTAAAAACACCATATAGACACATAAACAACATTAAATTTTCACCACAGGAGGACTTTAAGCTGAGTGTATGTTGTTGTGACGATAATGATGAAGCTGATCTCTTTCTTGGAGCAGATGTGGACTACATTTCCCATCATGCATCAGTGCATCCAGACAGAACGGTCCAGTGAGCGCAGCCGAGTTCCTCATCCAAGAGGTGAGATCAAACCTTCACTATGTCAGTGAAAGAAAACTGAAATGAGTTTCACATTTTCTTCTGGTTTTGTTCCTCAGGCTCTGATCGCTGGAGGTTTGGAGAGTCTCGCCAGCGACGGCCATTTTGTGTCGGTAACGAAGGCTGAGATGGCGGTGGCGTTGAACATGGATCTCGCCGCGCTGGAGAAGAAATCAGCAGCCGTTCTCAATAAACGTAAAGCACAGTGTTTGTTCAGAAAGAGGAAGACGGCAACGTGTCGTCCAGACTCAACACACTGTCAGGTGTAATATATTCGTCAGAGCGGAGTTAAGGCCAAGTCCAAAAGAAGACATTCACGATTCAGGACTCTGATATAACCGTGAGGACTGTTTTATGAGCCAGTACAGCAGAAGTGTGCTAACATATTGAAAAAAGGACTGATAATGGGTTTTTCTATTTATATAGAATATATAAAAATATGGTGAATTAAATATATTATACATATTGTCACTGTTAGATGGAAACCTCATATCTCCAAAAACTTTTCAGACAGTATCGGCTATGGCTTGATGACAAATGCTAGACTAAGACACTCATCTCCGCTCCTCAAATACTTAAAACATTAGCCTTAATATATAACATTTATTGAGTAAAAGCTATAGGTATTCAAAAACCAGTTATATTTACTATTGCATTGCAAACAAGCAGAAACACTCAAAACTGAGTGCAGCACTGATAGAGGGGGCGGAGTAATGAGGTTTGACTGACAGTTTGAGGATCCAATGGAGTTACGAGGTTTAGTCACAAATTAATACTTTCCCTTGTTTAAATATTTGCGAAACCCCCCTCAGGGTGACCAATAATAATGATGTATGAAAAATAAAATTGTGAGGTTATGTGAGAGATGTGAGGTTTCTGCCCGACAGTGACAATATTATTCAAAATGGTGAATATATATAAGCTATGCTATAGGCTTTTTGTTTCACATTTGATACAGTAGTCAACATTTGAAGGGATTAAAAAAAGTTCATCAAAGTTGTCTTAAGACAAGAACGGGTATTGTTCAAAATTCATGTATAACTTTGATGAAAGGTTAGATCCACTTCAAATGTTGACTATATTTCATAGCAAATGTGATCTAATTAGCTGAAATTAAAAGACCACAACATATTTCCCAACTAAACACCACTAAGAAAGTGACTCTTCTGAGGTGATTCTGTTTCTTCTGCATTAAAAACTGTGAGTGAACTTGAATGTGAAAATACCAAAGCATTTCTACATGTGCTAAGGATAACCTGAACATTGTTTTACTCGAATTGATCAACTTACCTGTTTATGTTTTATGCATTTACGTATTATTAAAGATTAAGTTATTATAACACTTTGTGTAATCTCAAAAGACTGTCTGTGGTCATTTCTGTGGTAATATTTCGCGTCACGAGAGGGCAAAAAATAAATCGCAAACAACAGAACCGCAAAAAGCCTAGCACTTGCTTTTAGCACAAGTGTTTACATGTGTTGTGTTTGTGCCCAACATTTAACCAAACCTGTCAAGTTATGACTCGTTTACCTCGCTGTTGTAAACTAGTCCTCCTCCTCAGACATCAGCTCTGCGCGCGCATCCCGCCCCGCGCACGCGCACTGGCCTCACCTGAGCGCCGCGCTTTTATTGGATTAATGTCGGTTAATCCGCGCGCCGCTGCTGGAAGATCCTGACAGGGTTTCAATGTTTTGAAAACAGACACACACTTCGGGTGAGTAACACATATCCAAAAGATAAATTATATATGCTTCGTATATGTTCAAGCTATGGTATGCAGTATGATATTACATTTAATACTAAAAAGAGTGTGATTATGATTGTTAAAACTAATGAGGACCTTAAGCAAAACTTTCCCTCTTTTTATTTAGGTGACCAAGTGTTAAATGTGGTAAATAAAGTAAAATACTTGGGTCACATTATTAGGAATGAGCGCCAGTGCTGTGACAGGCAAATATGCTGGCTCGAAAATGTTATGTGGACAGGTGATGATAAAATAGCACTTTTTAGAGCTTACTGTACATCATCTTACACATCTATGGTGTAGATAAAGTAGAATAAAAAATGAGAAAATGAGAAAGCTTCAGGTGGCATGATGCATTAAGAATTTAGCTTAAACTCCCACGGTGGACAAGTGCAAGACAAATGTTTGTTTCTAGTGATGTTGCATGCTGTGTTAAGGAATTATATGTATAATTTCATGTGTCGATTGGGTGACTCGAGAAATACAATCATAATGGTCTTAAATGATCCTATATCAAGTGATACAAGGTATTTGTCCGGGTTCTGGAAGCACTGGAACTCAAGTCTTTATAGTGTTGGTGTGTGTAAATCTATCTATCTATCTATATATATATTATATATATATATATATATATAATATTAAATGTTTATTTATTTATTTAAAAAATGCGATAGTTTAGTTACACTAACTGTGTTTGTTTTCTTTTCTGAGCTCTAAATTTGTTATAATTTCTGTACAATCTATTGGCTATTTCCATGTTTGTTAGGAATAAATTAGCCAAGTCTGTTTATTTCTTTGCACCACACTAACAATAAAGTAGGCCTACAATTTTAAAGTATTTTGAATGTAGCCAACCATGATTTCTAAACAGCCTACCATAGTAATTTAATTAAACACTTTAATTTAACTTTAGTTCTATCGTATTAAAATTACAGTTCTCTTACTGTATTCTGTTTGATAAAATTTCTTAAGATGCAGTGTACTTAAATGGGTCACATTTACTCTGCATAAATAAATAAACACGTTTGCTGCGGGTTACCGGGTGTCTGTGAGGTTAAGCTGAGACAGTCAGACGGGCGTAAGGAGTTTATAATATTACGTTCACCATATGGACTGTCTTACAGGTCTGCAGGAGTCCAGAAGATCACGATGGAGGAGCACACGACAGGTACACAATCACAGCAACCCCAAACACCGTTTCAAGGGCTGAAAAATGACATTTCTACAACCTCAAAGAGTGATTTAACGCTTTAAGGCCCGTTCACACCAAGGACAATAACGATAAAGATAACGATAAAGATATAGTTCTAAAAAATTGTTCTCAATATTAAAGAATAGCAGAGTTCACACCACAGCGATAACGATATGAGGAACGATATTGTTGGGATCACTTTCGGAACAATTTTTTTTCCAGCTGTTGAACGATAAAACCGACAGCCAATCAGAATCAACTCGAATTTAAAATGGCCGACGACATCGTGGAGAAGTTAATCGCCGAGGGTCAAGCCCCTTTTCAAGAAAATAGACATGGAAAACGATCGTTCAAACCCTCTGAATAAACGAGGAGAAGTACCTCAGGTTTCCAGCGCTCGTGTCTTGCTAACTCTGAAGTTGCGCTGTAAAAGACTAGTGTTGTGTTTATTCCACTATAGTGAGTCCGTCAGCTAAACTCACTGCTAGATTATTAGCTCGATTACGCTAGCTTCACTCGAAGCACAGCACGCTGAGGACACCTGCTGGTTAAAGCCTGTAAGTGCAGCAGAAACATGTTCAATGATGCTGTACACACTTTGAAACCGCAGCGCTAGCTTACAATAAACAGATGTGGCGCAAATATAGTTATCGTTATAGTTATTGTTCCTGGTGTGAACGGGCCTTTAATTTGCAGCCAGCAGGATGACTGTAGGAGCAGAAGGCGGGGCTGATGTCACAAAGGGGGTGTGGCCTACACAGCCACGCCCTTTATCACATGACCGGGTCACGCTAGTAGTCGACGGGACTCATTTTGTGGTGGATCCCGCCGTTTTCACGACGTACCCGGATACAGTGCTGGGAAGGTACTGAGCATGATAACCTAAATGAATAATTCTTATCGTTATGTGCAATAACGAGGTTTTTTTCCGCAGGATGTTCGGTCGAGCGCGTCAGCACAGTATCACGCGACCGAACGCTAAAGGCGAATATGAAATCGCAGAGGGCATCGGCGCCAGCATCTTCAGGGTCATACTGGTACACATTTACATGCAATTGTCTTTTAAAGGTGCAGTGTGTGATTTTAGCGGCATCTAGTGGTGAGGTTGCGAATTGCAGCCAACAGAAGTTACGGTGGCCGACAGGAAGTG